GTCAAAAAATATGCAAAGCACTGTGCCCATGGGTCAGAATCACTTCCCACCCCCTGCCTTTGCTCACACTTTATCATATCAGGATCTCCCCCAGGAGGGAGGTTTCCCTGAATTTGGGAGGTGCCTTTGCTTTCAACAGTCCCTCACAGAACCACTGTGGGACCAGCCCAGAAAGGAATTTGCCATCTTCCCAGCAGCCCAAGAGATTGACTTTAGGGACACTGAGAAGGGAAGGGCACACAGAGACCACTCTGCCAGTCAAGCCCAATGTGAAGTGGTGATCTCTTCATGTCCCCAGAGCTACAAGTCAAGTCTGGGTGACTCTTGTTTGATTCTCAACCTTGGCTGGGAGACTGAGCTTCAAGAAAGGCCTCAGACCTGAGATGTGGCATCCTGAGGTTTTGCCCACATGGGGAGCCAGGTCCTGCAGTGGGAAGCAAGTGGTAGATGACAGAGTAAGGGATCAGTCACAAATAATCCTCAAACCCAGTCTTCTTGTTTCCCCTCTCAGAAACCCCTGACCTCAACCAGAGCATGCATGAACTAGAGCGCACACTGGAAGCTTGGGTCATCTCCCATCTTGCATTTCACCCCAGAACTTGGCACCCAGCTCAGGCTATAGAGAAGACCAGCCCCAAGGACTGAGAGCTGCCAGCCCAGCTGCAGTATCCAGTTAGGTCAGTTGCCACACTGCCCCAGTGCCTCAGTTTCTCTGAGTTTTTGTTACCGGGAAACCTCGGTGGGGCTCGGGCTGCCTGTCGCTGTGTCCAATTCAGCGGAGGCAGGGGTGAATCCTATAAGGTGTTTATTGAGAAGGCGCCGACTGAGAAGATGGGCACACGAGCATCCCAAACTTGTCTCAGGAGTGGCCTGAGGGACAGGGCTGGATGGGGCAGACGGGGGCTGGGAACGGAATGCAGCTACGTGCAGTCCTGGAGGTCATTCTTTTGATCTTGGTTGCCTGGGGATGTCTCGACAAGGTGAGATCTTCACTCCCTCGATCTGGGTGGCCTGGCAATGTCTCCATAAGGTGATATCTTAACCCATTGTCCACAGCTGCGCCACCTCCTTAATTGCTTCAGTCCGGGATCAAGGGGAGTGCAGGGCGCAAAGGCCCAGGAGAAAGAAGCCTAAGGAAAAAAGTCCCTGCTCACCTAAGTATATGTGTTCTACAATTTTATAAGCAATATAATATCTCAGATTAATTCAGGTGCTTGATCTTTGGACATTACAAGTGCCCCTGTCATTTCCTCTCCTCATCACCAGGGTATTCTGTGAGAGGGGGATGATCTGCAGATGGCAGAAGTCCCTGGAGTGGTGGCAGCAGGGATGTGAGCATACACCCTGGTGGCTGTGATGGCCTCAAGGAAAACACCCCACAGAAACATCTTGGGCAGGGCTAGTTTGACCCAAGTTGAGACCCTAAGGGGCAGATGCTTAAGAAATGGCTGTGGGTTGAGGGCCAAATCCCTACCGCCTTCATGGGGAGTCCATGTACCTCTTGGGCTGTTCATGATTGTGAACCTGAATGTCAGAGTGTGTGAGAG